AGACATTATTGAAAGCCTTTTCTGCATCTATGTAAATGATCATATAGTTTTTGCTTTTTAATTCTGGAGAGGAGAAAACATAGTTTGGTCTCCATGTTTGGTTGATAACTCTGGTCTACTGGTTAATGATGCTTTCTTATCAAGTGTAGAGATCTCTCTAGTGAGCATACACATGGGTAATAAAATTTATTAGGAAGAGAACGGATTTTATCCAAATTTACTTTCTCCCAAATACCCACTGAGGGGCTGGTTTTATATTCCAGCCCAAGAAGTACTAAAATGATCACATTGTTAGCTATAGCTCAGACTATGCCTGGCTACAGTCAGGTGGGTTTACAGTCTTACAACACGCCCTGGTAAAATGATATCCCTAACAGCAGCAATTCCCATTATGGCTTGGGGGTTAAGACTAGCAGATGTGTGCACACAGACAATGTGCTGGTACCAGTAATACATTCAGCAGCAGGAGCCATCGCAGTAAAGACTACAGGGACCTGAAGGTATCCACCCATAGTCAAGCTTGGGCAAATCTAGGTCGTGACAAATATTCTCTTCTTAACCATACTCCAGTTAGGCTCCTCTGAAATCTTTTCTCAACTGGGCCCTGACTTTTGAACTTTTGTGTTATTCTCTGTATCATCCAGTTTTGTGAAGAATCTGAGTCAGTTTAGTAAAAATCCTTCACCCTTGTTCTGACCCTCCTTGATATCTTACCACCCGGGACTGCCTTCAGCAAAAACTCTGTTAGGTCAGTTTAGCAAAAAATTACCCAACCTCTCAGTAGTTTATCCACTGATCCCCTACCCTACACCTTGGTTTATTGTGCAGTAAGCCCTCACTTAAGGTTGTTTATAGGTTCTTGGAAACTGCAAGTTTAAGTGAAATGACATCTAAGAAAACCAATTTTCCTTTTCTTATCAATGTTAGAACAAAACGTAGTTGAACAAAATGACATAGAGGACCTGTTTTATGTTGTTTCACTTAAAGTCACCATTTCCAAAAACCTATCAGTGACATTGAGGACTTAACTGTATTTAGAGGTGAGTCCAATCTCCTCTACTCTTTAAATAAAGTCTTTTTAACTGTACATCTTTAGTAAATATCATAAATAATTTTTTTCTTTAACAGTGGTGTTCACCTCAGACTCCAAACCAGCAAGGGTTATCTATTTTCCCTCACCTTGGTGTCAGGGATTTCAGGTATCTAAAATGCACCAGTGTCTAAAATGTCCAAGAAGTGCAATTTTCTTTTATCTGTTTATTGGATGTTAACCTCGGCAAAGAGCCTCTGGTCCCTCCTAGTAACAGAGGAACATCACCTTAAGCCCTAGTCTTATTTCTGAAAGCTGAGAAATCTGGGCAAAATAGGGCCCTCTAATTCACCCCCAGACACACAGAAAAAAGGTAGGGGGAAATCACCCTAGATGAGTCACAGAGGCTATCTATAAAGATTTAGACATGTTTTCTGGGGTGGAGAGAGGGATTAGAGAGCTGAGTGGAGCCGTGGCCCAGGTAGATGGCTGTTTTATGGACAGAACATCTGGGAAGCATGCAGTGATGACTGATTTGAGCTCAGCTCAGGTTTCCCACAGGCTTTCTGGCACTTCCCTGAAGGATGTGGCTGCTGCTGCTGCTGCTGTGTGCTTTCATCAAGGCAGCAGTTGCTGTCGGGGCACGCTGAAGAATGAGGCCTGGAATAAGTCACCCTATATTGTGCTATGTCTTGCTTACTAACTATAGAAAGATTACCGCTGGAGGGCATTTAAGTAAGTCTCTAAGGTCAGTTTAGGGCTGCTGGGCAAAGTGATCTCAAGGAGCTCTATACCCCGTTTCTTTCCTTTGAAGTTTCAACAACTTGCTGCATCACAAAATATTTATCAGGGCCAGAGACCTGAGTTGAGTTACTGTGGCCTGCAGAAGCTCACTGCTCATTCCCATTGACAGAGGGCCCTAAGCAATGGCTAGGGAACTGTTTCACTAGCTTTCTCCAAACCCCTCTGTAATGAACAGACACCCACTAATTTCCACCTCTTCATACTCATGCCTTTATGCAATTTCTTCCCTTTTAAAGTATGCAGAATTTCTGAATGCCTTATTACCAGTGGTACGTGGCAAAAGTGATGGGATGTTGCTACCATGATTGTCTTATATTACGTAAGTCCTTCTCACTAGAATAGTCTCCTTCTCCTGTTGGCCTTGAAGAGACAACAGCCATAGTGTGAACTGCCTATTGAGAGGTTCATGTAGCAAGAAACTTTGGGCAGTCTTTAGAATCAGAGGTCTTACTTTCTACATGTGCAAGGAACTGAATTCTACTAATAACCTAAGTTAGTATGGAAATAGATCCTTCCCTACTCTGACCTCCATATGAAAACTCATCCCAGCTGGCACTATGAGTTCATTATGGCGAGATTGTGAAGGAGAAAACCCATTTAAGCTGAGTCCAGACTTCTGATCCACAGACATTGTAAGATAACATTTGTTATCTTACATTTATCTTGCTACTAAACTTGCAATAGTCTATTTTTATGTAGCAAAGAAAGCTAATGCAACTTTTATCTGCATGGGTAGGATACTGTACAATAATATAACATTGATTTATAACTGAATTTTAAAATGTTAAGGACTGAGATCCTTTACTCAGATTATTCTATTTCTTAAATCAAAGTTAATTATTTCAAAACTAAATTAATATGCATTCTTAGAATTCTTTATCTCAAGTCAGAGAAAACAGTCCAAAAAAAAAAAAAAATAAGACATCACTCTGTGGCAGTGCATATGTGCCAGTAAATAGCAGAAGGTATTACAAATATACTATTATTTAATTCTCATATCACTGACAGGTAGGTCTTATTATTTTTATTCATTTTACAAATAAAAAATTTAATCTCATAGAAATTAGTTGATTTAATAAGGGCTACTAGGTGGCTATGTCATCATTACGTAAAATTCTATGTGTTTTCAGAATGATAATTTGGAACCATTCAATTATAATGTTCATCTTCTACACCAAGGGGAAAGAACATTTTCTTCAAGTCATCTGCAATAACAAATTTGTCATAAAGTGCTTCCATGTGCTTCTTCCTCATTTAAGGCTATATGTATTCAGAATATCAATTTACATTTGATAGCACCTAAAGTTTTTCTTAAAATGTACCAGCTTTCTCTTGCAGATCCAGCATTTTCTGGGCTCTCCCAATGGTCCTGTCTTTTTGGGAAATCGGCTGCTGCCTTTTCCGTGGTGGTGTGGTAAAGAGGAGTGAATACAGGTGCTTAGTAACACAGGCCCGGTACTAATCCTGCCTCTTTTACTCAATAGCTTTGGGACCATCAAGAAAACCCTTAGCAATTTATAAACTCTTTCACCCCCTTTATATAAATTTCTCCTTGGTTGGGCTCAGTGGTTCACACCTGTAATGCCAACATTTTGGATGGCCGAGGTGGGCAGCTCACCTGAGGTCAGGAGTTCAAGACCAGCCTGGCCAACATGGCAAAACCCCATCTTTACTAAAAATACAAAAAAGAGGCCGGGTGCGGTGGCTCGCACCTGTAATCCCAGCACTTTGGGAGGCCGAGGCAGGCGGATCACGAGGTCAGGAGATCAAGACCATCCTGGTCAACATGGTGAAACCCCGTCTCTACTAAAAATACAAAAAATTAGCTGGGCATGGTGGCGCATGCCTGTAATCCCAGCTACTCGGGAGGCTGAGGCAGGAGAATTGCCTGAACCCAGGAGGCGGAGGTTGCGGTGAGCCGAGATCGCGCCATTGCACTCCAGCCTGGGTAAAAAGAGCGAAACTCTGTCTCAAAAAAAAAAAAAAAAAAAAAAAAGAAAGAAAAAATTAGCCAGGCATAGTGGCAGACACCTGTAATCCCAGCTACTCGGGAGGCTGAGGCAGGAGAATCACTTGAACCCGGAGGCAAAGGTTGCAGTAAGCCGAGATTGCACCATAACACTCTGGCCTGGGCAACAAGAGCAAAACTTTGTCTCAGAAAAATAAATAAATAAATAAATTCTCCTTTTTATGAGATTTGTACAAATTATCTTGGATAATGTTCATGTGTGTATCTATATTTATACATATTATATGTATATATACCTATATGTATAGATATATGAATGTGTATACATGTCTATGTCAATCTCAAACCAGGTACTTTCACACTACTCCTCCTTCTTCAAAGTCATACAAAATTTTGATGTGAATTCTGTACAGTGGCATAACCTGCCCTAATTTATAATGCATACATGATGGTTAATTTTACACCCTAATTTGACTGGCCATAGAGTGCCTGGATTAAACATTATCTGTGGTTGTATTTGTAAGGGTGTTTCTGAAAAAGATTAGCATCTGTATAGTTGGACTCATAATGTCTATCTCCCCAAAGTTTGCCCTTCCCAAAGTTGTTGGACATCATCTAATGCATGAAGAACCTGAGTAGAAGAAAAGGTCAAGGAAGAAGAAATTTGCTCCTTTTCCTGCCTCAGTGCTTGAGCTGAAACATGTCACCTCATCTTTTTTTGCCTTTGTACTGGCATTTATATCGCCAGCTCCCTGGTTCTTAGGACTTCAGAGCCACAGTAACTTGTATTACCAACTTTGTGGGTCTCCTGTTTCCAAATGGCAGATAATGAGCAGTCTTAGCCTCCATAATCAAGTGAGCCAATTCCTCATAATAAATACATATCTCTTACTGTTCTGTTTCACTGGAGAGCCCTGATTAATACAATATATTTCTGTAAGAATGGCTTGTGTCTTTGCTATCCTAGGTATTTCTACTCCTCATCCTGTGTTTGAAAAACACTTAAAAAAAAAATAAAGAAAATTACATAGGGTGGTAAATGCAATGGTATACTCACATGTTTCATTATGAGAAAAAGATCTGAACAGCCATCTCTTGTCAAGAACAGCTGAGCCTAGACATGACTTTCTTTACTTGACATACGGAAATTCACATTATCTGTGGCAAGATTTTGTAAACTGAGGAGTGAGACTTCAGTAGAGCCAAGTATTATTTTATTGAAGCAAAAAGAAAACAGAACAAAAACAAAACAATTGTTTTCCAAGACGTTGAAATGGCTGACATTGTTTTCAGTAATTAGAAGAATATTTATTTTTATATTTAAAATTCATAGAAAATGCCTTACACTTAATAAAAGTTTGTTTCTCAAAGTAAGGAATTAGATTCAGTCTTAAACACCAATATTAGTTTTAGGAAAATACACCGATATACATTAAGTAAATTATTTAAGATTCTAGAACTTGTAAGTGAAGAGATAAAATTTGATCTCAGAAACTCAGAGCATTAAAAATCCACTATTAGTAAATAAATTACTATGGACTTCCTGCTTTGATTCTGTGATGACTATGGAGTGTCACTAGTAAACCAACACAATCTTAAAAATACATTATTTAGTAACAAATTCCTATGTATTTTACTAGATAACATGGATATGAGTTGACAAGTTTCTCCTCTCCAGTCTTTTAAGTGGCAGAGGAAATGAAGAAAAAAAGAGAGTTCAAAGGAATTACAGCAATACCGTTCTTTCTATAGGAGGGATTAGATGTGTTTCCCTAACAAATGCAAAAATAATAACAATAATAATATTTACTACTAGTGAAACCAAGATATTAGGAATAATATCTTTCTTGCAAGAGATTGCAAGCATCTCTTGCAAGAAAGAGTAAGACTGTTATGAGTTAAACTGTGACTTCCTCAAATTTATATGTTGGAGTTTTAATTCCCAATACCTCTGAATATTATCTTATTTGGAAATAAGGTCTTCGTAGAGAATACAAAATTAAAATGATTTCATTAAGTCATTAGCAGTGGACCCTGAGCCAGTATGACTGGTGTCTTAATAAAAAGCAAAACTTGGGCACAGAGATGTACATAAAGACCATATGAAGAGTCATAGCGACAAGATGGCATCTACAAGCCAAGGAGAGAGCCACGGAACACAGTCTTTCCTTGCAGACCTCAGAAAGAACCAATTCTGCGGGAACCTAGATTTTGGATTTCTAGCCTACAGTACGACAATACAATTACAGTTTAAGTCACCAGTCCATGATGCTTTGTTATGGAAGCCCTAGGAAATGAATACAGACATTCTAAGTAAAAGAAGGGAAAAGAAAGGAAGAGATGGTCATAGTGGAGATGAACTCAGGGAAGAATCTGAGTCTCAGCACAAGGGCTACTATGCAGAAGTGGGTAAGGGAAATGAGAACACTCAGGAGCTCGGTGGGCACAGGGTCATCGGGGCTGGGCAGTTCCAAGGATTGAAATACGGATAAGCAGGCTGAGAAAAGCGACATCTAGAGAACTTGTAGATGAGTGCTCCATGGTTTGTAACATTAAAAAATGAGACAATGCCTGCCTCATAGTCTAGGAAAATCCCAATACGACAGGGAGGCACAGCCATAAAGAGAGTCAAAACCTTGAGATCAGAAGAGGAGGAATCCTCAAAAGCATTATACTCAGATGTATCCTGTAATCCTATAACCCAGTAGCCACATTGAGGTCTGTATTTGGAGTAAATACTTGAATAATTTGTACTTGTGTCAAAAGTAAACCCAGAGCTCTTCCTTTTATTCGGATTACTTATTTTACTGTGTACACCCAGGATCCAGGCACTCTTTCCAGACACATCTACTTCCCAGTAGTATTTCCCTGAAGAGAAATGTTGGCAGCCCAAGACACCAAAAGCAGAAAAATCTCGTGGATTTGAATTCTTAAACGTGCTGGTGTGTACAGTTGCCACTTGTCTCTGATCCGCAGAAACAGCAACATTCAAAGTGGCACTGTCTGGATTCAGCATCACATCCACTGTAGAAAAAATTACAGAGTCAAGTGAAGAATATGGGGTAGATGTGTCTTGTGGCATTGAGAAGAGACATAATGAAAACAGAACTTGTGTTGATAAGTTAGAAGTTAGTAGGACACTTAAGAATTATAGGGTATAGGCAAGTTTGGGGAGGAACACATGGAACTCAGATTATGAGATCTAATAGTAACCACAATTCTGAAAGGAGGTGATTTGAGGTCCATATCATCTTACCCCAGTAGCACTGGACATCCGTCAGCTCTGAAATGACAAAAGTTTCAGTGATGTTGTCAGAAACAAATGAGTAAGCACCGACACCTGTCTCCTCCTGTAGAGCAGGGAAAGGAAAGGGGAATACTGGGATTCTATGCACTGGTGAATGAGAGGAGGAATCAGACACCTGGCCATTCCCCCTAAGATGGGACCACATCTACAGCACAGGATTTTCCTCCTTCTTTGGCCCACCTCCTCTCCTATACCCTAAGCTAAAAAAAAAACAAAAAAAAAAAAAACAAAACAAAAAAAAAACACCAGCTTCCCTGTCGAGCCCTGATACTAATAAGGGCTCAGCCTTCCCCTGAATCCCCTTACCTCTGAGAATCTGCAGCATTCCACTCAGATCTGGCATTTGGAATATACTCTTTAGTTTCTTGGAAACAGATTTTGGCTTCTTCAATATCCAAGTTTCACTACTAGTGATAAAAAAAATTGATGACCATTACACTTTTGCCCTATTTTCTCTCCATCCAAGACCACTGTCTCTTTCACCTTTCATCATACTGATGCACTTGGACCCTATTCCCTGAGGACAGTAGAGGCAAGACACCTAACACTGGAGCCCGGAGAAAGGTGCTCATGTCTACCTGTCTGCCCACTTCCTTTCTGTGTAACCTTGGAAAGGTCTTCACTTCAAAGATGTTCACTCTCTTCCTTTTAAAATAGAATAATTGCCCCGTGCTTTCTACCTCTTAAAAATGAATATAAAATTAGATAAAATAATAATGTTTTTTCTTTTCTTTTTGAGACAGAGTCTTGCTCTGTTGCCCAGACTGGAGTGTAGTGGCACGACCTCAGCTTGCTGCAACCTCCAACTCCTGGGTTCAAGCGATTCTCCTGCCTCACCCTCCCGAGTAGCTGAGATTACAGGTGTCTGCCACCATGCCTGGCTAATGTTGGTCAAGCTGGTCTGGAACTCCTGACCTCAAGTGATCCACCTGCCTCGACCTCCCAAAGTGTTAGAATTACAGGCGTGAGCCACCGCACCCGGCCAATAATGCTTTGAAATGATATTCGGTAGCTCTAAAAAACTTATTTCATATTTGGAAAAGTCATTGCCATCTCAGTGGGTCCTCCAGAAAGAGTCCAGAGATGTGGCTTCCCAGAGAGGTGGTCATTAAGGAGGCCACAGAATCTGTCGTCTACTGAGTGGTTGAGGGCTATCAAAATGGGGTCCTATGTTGAAAAGCTGAATGTTTTCCCAAATCTATTATCCCAATATGAGCCCTAGAGAATAACGTCTGAGGCTGCAAGCTCTCTGGGCAAAGAAGATTAAATTACAATGATTAAATTAATTAATAGTGGTCTGATTTTCATGTGTTTTAAAAAACTTTGATGCTGCTAAGTAGGTGGGCAACTTTAGACACAAGAATATATATTATTATTTCCTACAAGATGGTAAAGTATGTGAGCAAGAAAAGATTATATTGGCACCAGGACCAAAGTCACTATTCCTCAAGACTCGAATCTATTCTGCAGAAATCTAAAAAGCACCACCTAGAAAGTTACTGTTTATTTTATTCTCCAGGAGAAATGCAAATATAAAGGTATGGTGTTTGGAAAATTTGAGTCTGGCATAGAAAGAGGGCAGATCCTTGCTGCAATAAGACAGGCATCTATGCTGCATGGAAACAACAGACAGAGGTTTGAATATAGTGACTGAAGTCATGGGGTTCTGATATTGCAAACTCTTATTCCTAAGGTCTCCTAACTCTGTGGCCTCCCAACACCTAAATTTCTTACAATTGAAAACTTTAATCTGTGATTAGCAGTTTGGGACAACTTAATACACAAATTCCCAGCCTTGTAATTTTTTAAGTTGTTCTGACTGACGATATCTCAGGACTATAATCCTCTTTTCAGACAAATAAGACCATATCACTCTTCCATATATACCTTCTCATGACGTCAATCACATCCTGGGAAAAAGATAGAAAACATGTGTCAAATTAGGGTTGCAAGATTTAGAACATAAAAGTGGCTAGTTCAATTTCAATTTGGGTTAAACAATACTTTTTTGTGTGTTATATATATGACCCCTGCAATATTTAAGATACTTTTATACTAAACATATTGTTTACTTTATCTGAAATTAAACTTTAACTGAGCATCCTGTATTTCATCTAGCAATGCTCAGAAGAGTGATAGGCCCTCCTCTCTTACAAAAAGTTTTATCCACCTTCCTCCCCTCACTTTTATCATCCCTTGATACGGTGGGAATAAATAGATGGTCACAGACTGGGGACAAAGTGTGGAGATAAGATCCAGACTGACCACTACAGAGGACTCAGATGAGGGTGTTAGCAAGATGCTTCAAGTATCTCAAGAAGGAATATATTTAAAAGAGAGGGAGGAGCTCCACTATTTTTATGCACTTTTAATGAGATAACCTCATTAATTCATTGTGTTTTTATTTTATACATCAACAGACATAAAATGGTGAAATCTACTGTTTGACAGATATTTTTTCAGGTTTTAGGGATTCAGTTATGAAAAATGAATAATAACAGTACTTAAGAAGTGTACTTCTGCTGTTAGTAAAAGCAAGCAAACGTTTCAAGTAAAAGTTTGTCTGGCCTCCCTGTACTCACTCTACGTGCTGACTATACTCTACCATAGGTGATCTCATCCGTTTATCAGTATGAAACAAGCCACAGGAACAAGTAACTGAGTAGGTCTTAAATGTAACTTAGTAGTTCCCAACTACTTACACCCACTGTCTAGAATAGTGTTAATATCCACTTAGTTATCATCTTAGAAACTATAAAATTTTATCCTGGATTCCAACATTTTATTAACCTAGTCTAGTTTACATTTTAAATTGTTTTCAGCTATCTTTTCTTCCTCACCATAACCATTATTTCCTTTATTTTTTTGAACAAGTATGTACCAGTATATCTGGTCTCCCTCTGTCTGATCTGACCCCCTTTATACAAACTCCAGTTGACTTTACACCCTCAGAAATAGTTTTACTGTCTGTATTAGCTTTTTTTGTTGTTATAATATACGACAAAATCCAACTAAAACTGGTTTACATTTTTAGAAAACAAATTCAATGGATCAAGTATAATTTTACTCATAGCTAAGTTTTTAAGCTAAAATCTTGCCATCAGAATCTGGTTTTTCTTCTGCAAATTATATTTTATACCTATTATGTTGACTTTTTTCAGATTAATTATGGTATCAGCTTAAATCTCCTGGTTTAAATGATCATCCTTGATATAATATCCATCAGAAAAGACAACTTCTCTTTTTACTCATGACAGTAAAATACTAAGGCATGCAAACTGTCAACCTGAATTGGGTCAAGAATATATGTAAAAATAATACTGTAGGGTTGGTAAAAGGGAAGAATTGGATATAATGATTTGCCCAGAACTGAGTAACATATACATGCCTAATGCTACTAATTTTGTCAACCTTAACCAACTATCTGGAATGAGAAGGGTAGGGATGGTTCCTCAAAGAATTATTATGAAGAAACAAAAAGAAGGAACAGAGGTTGGACAGACAAACAAATATTGTCTACTATGGTCTATTCCTCAGCTGTCTGCCACCTCTTCACCCTTATTACAAAACTACTTCCAAAAAATGGCACAGTATAATGCAATGGCTACAATAACATTAAAAATGGATAACTTACACTATATAAACACTATAACTAAAAATGAATCAAAGACCTAAAGCTATAAAACTCCTAGAAAAAAGGGAGAAAATGCATGATATTGGATTTGATAGTGATTTGTTGGCTATGATATAAAAAGTAAAGGCAATGTGAGAAAAAAAAAATAGACCTTTACCAAAATTAAACTTAAAAAAATTACTCTTAAGTTATCAAGAACACTATGAAGAGAGTGAAAAGCCAATCCACAGAATGGGAAAGCATATTTACAAATCATATGTCTGATAAGGTATTAATAGCCAGAATCTATAAATGAGTCCTAAAATTCAGCAAGAAAATCAACATCTATTCAGATAAATCCTCTCAACAAACTGGTAATAAAAGAGAACATCCTTGGCCAGGCACGGTGGCTCATGCCTGTAATGCCAGCACTTTGGGAAGCAGAGGTGGGCGGATCACAAGGTCAAGAGATTGAGACCATCCTGGCCAACACGGTGAAACCCATCTCTACTGAAAAAAAAAAAATACAAAAATTAGCTGGTCATGGTGGCGTGTGCCTGTAATCCCAGCTACTCGGGAGGTGGCTCACATCTGTGATCCTAGTACTTTGAGAGGTCAAGGTGGGCAGATCTCCTGAGGTCAGGAGTTTGAGATGGCCAACACGGTGAAACCCCATCTCTACTAAAAACACACAAAATATATCACCTGGGCATGGTGGCACATGCCTGTAATCTCAGCTACTTGAGAGGCTGAGGCATGAGAATTGCTTGAACCCAGGAGGTGGAGTTTGCAGTGAGCAAGACTGTGCCACTACTCTCCAGCCTGGGTCACAAAACGAGACTAAAAAAAAAGAGGAAGTTTCTCAACTTCATTAAAAGTCTAAAAATAAAACAAAATAAAAGAGAGACTGCTATAGAGCTAACATCCTACTTAAGAGTAAGAGACTGAGTACTTTCCTCCTAAGGTCAAAAAAAAAGGAAAGGATATTATTCCCTCTCACCATGCCTATTGAACATTGTACTAGGAATCCTAGCTAGTGCAATAACAGAAGCAAAGACAAATGAAAAACTATACAAACTGCAAAGTATGAAATAAAACTTCATTCTCAGATGACATGATTTTCTATGTAGAAAATGCCAAAGAATTGATATTTTAAAAAAAAATATCTCCTATGACTAATAAGTTGCATAATTGACATTTTTTCTATGTGCTACACCTTTGCTATGTGCCAGCAATGAAGAATTGAAATTTTTTCAAAAATACAATAGCACCAAAAATTAAAAAAATAGGAAAAACTCTAAAGAAAGAAAAAGTATAGAATCTACATGTGTAAATAAGAAGCCTTTCAGCAGGATTAGTTATTAGGATAAAGCAAATACATTGAGATACCAATACATTTCCACTAGAAAGGCTGTAACAACAAAGGAAGCAGGCAGCATAAGTATTAGCAAGGATTTGAATAATCTAGAAACTTTTTATATTGCTTACAGGAATATAAAATGAGTAAAAACTTTGGCAAATAGTATAACTTAAAAATTATATATAAACTTAACATACAATACTCTTAAAATCTATTCAAGATAAATGAAAACATGTTCGTATGAGAACATGTAAGTGAATGCTTACTGTAGCATTATTCTTAACAGTACCTAACTGGAAAATATTCATATAGTCACCAACTACTGAATACATAAACGTAATATTATATATTCAGATAATGGAATAGCATTAGCAATAAGAAGGAGAAAAATGTTCATACATACCGCAATGTGAATAAACCTCAGAATACTATGCTAAGCGAAAGATGCCAGATGCAAAAGACTACATGTTGTATAATTCAATTTATATTGAAAGGTCCAGAGAAGCCAATTAATACAAACAAAACAGATTGTTACCAGGAAGTGGAGATAAAAACAGATATGGAGATAGAAACAGGCATGAGAAATATTTTTGAAGTGATTGGAAAGTTCTAAAACTGATTTGCTTATAGTACAAAGAATCTTCTCTCCAAGCTCAAATTTTTACACTGCCTATCATAAGTAAATAACAATGGTAATTTCCCTTGCTATTCATATATTTAACTATCTTCATGACCCTTGAAATGATTGGCATAAAAGAGGCACTGCTGGGCCAAAGGGATCATTTAATGTCACCTAGAAAACCTAGGGACTGGGAAGGAAAGGAAAATCAGCATCTGTGTTTTTCCCCTAATCTCATAAGTAGGTGCTCCATCCTAGGTCTTACCTGCAGCATCTCTACTGACGACCCCTTTATCCGCCGCTGGAGGTCCGAGATGAGCTTGCTGGCATACTGCCTCTGCTGGACCAGCTGGTCTTTAGCTTCTGCCAGGTTATCCAGCACATTCACCTCACCTTCCTCCAACTTTTGCAGTTCTCTCTGCTCCTCACTGTCCAAGATGACTCTCATTTCATTGAACCCTTTCAGAATCTTCTGTCTCTCAGTCTGGATATAACTCTTGGGAATGAGAAGAGAAAGAGACAGTCAATCTGGCTGGTTGAAGGCCTGCTTTGTAAGAGCCTGGGAGCCAGGATAAGAACTGTTTTCTTAGGGAGTTCTCAAAAGGAATAGGAGGCAAAAGCCAATAAGCAATTTCTAGTGAAGCCACGTTTTTCTACTTTTTAACCTGAGCTCCTCCAGAAGCAATATACTCAAGTCTGTTTTACTGAGGCCTAATCTGAGACAAAATGTGATGCCTGGGTGAGGCATGGATTGTAGACATCTGTCCTGGACAAACTTGCCTTTCTGTATCTTAAATCCCTCTATCCAAACCCCCTAAACAGGGAATCCTGGGTCTTTTCCCAGGGTGTTTACTGGAAGGATTGGGACCTCAATCCTGATGACACAAATGGGACACAGGATTCACAGGAAGCATTTTTATTTCCCTCCATGCTTTCACTTCCAAATACTGTGTTAATTTATCATATGTTTACTCTCCAAATGAGACCTAACGAAATGGCTTCTACACTCATTAATTCTAGAGTAGCAAAGAGGAAGGGGTTTCCTTGTGCTAGAGCCCAAGGTCCTGCCCAGATATGTGTCAATGATCCTTAGGAAGTGCCTCTTCCTGCCTTCCAGCTGGTTCTCTCTTGTTGAATGTCAACTTCCAGCTTCTCAGCTTCTTGATCCTCCTTTATCAGCCTCTGCAGGGCTGCCTGCAGCCTTTCCTGTGAGAAAGAAATTATAACAGAGTCAAGTTACGAGCTTTCTCAGCACCTGGATAGAGGATAGCAAGGAAGAAATCGGGTGGCTCTCAGAAGGGACTAGTTTACAGACAGTGAGGCTGGTGATTAGAGCCTATGACATGGGGGGACATCTGAGGAGATGAATGTGTTCTTTATTCCCGGATGATGGAAGTTGTAGGATACAGTAAATCCCTCCTCAAAGTTTAACCTGTTAACTTCCTTTAAAATTCAAGAGGGAGAAAAATTGTTAAGAACAATGAGTTCTAAATTCCTCTCTAAAGAACCAGTATGGCAGGTATGTTCAGCTTCCCTGTTCTTTGTTCTCCATTTTAAAGTTTAACTTATTTGTTCTTTACGCCTCCTTGCCCCTAGTTTCAGTAAACAACCCCCTCCTAGCTTCTATCACCTGTTCTGTCCTTAGGCATCCTTAGTCACCTGTTCTGTCCTTAGGCATCCTTAGTCACCTGTTCTGTAACCCTCTTTCCTGCCCAAACTACTCACCCTGCCCCTCTGGCTCGTATCCTTACACTCTTTAAAATAGCCAATCAGAATTAACTTAGACTGTGTGGTCCAACCCTAGCCAATAGGGGAAAGACATATCAGTAGGGACTAGCTGCATTAGGAATAAGACCCCCTTCCCCTCGCTTGTCCAGTATAGTCTTGCCATTGCTCCATCCATGAGATGCACCTTTCTATAGAAGTAAATTTGCCTTGCTGAGAAAACTTTTGCCTGAGTGCTATGTTCACATGGCAGCACCAAACATTTACTTCCAACAAAGTCACCATCCCCTTATCAAGAGTAGCCTCATTCTTTTCCTAGAGAAAAAGCAGACCCTGCAGTAAGGAAAGACTTCCTTTCATTGCCACTCTTCCCACATTTAACCAGACATGTTCCCCAAAACACCTTTCTGCTTAGAGTGCCATTTAGAGCTTATCTTACAAAGCAATTATCCATTCATTCAACATTTCTTTGCTAAAATTTGTATTTGTCTTTAAATAGAAACAATGTGTAGCAATGTCCTTCAAGCTTCAGAAATTAAGCAAAGAATATGGAAAGAGATCACATGGCTCTCAGTTCTATGGTGATAGGGGAATAAAAAAGGATTAAAAAGAAAAGTGGAGATTTCACATCAGGTACCATCTTTTGCTCTCTGATCTCTCTTCCTCTACCTTGGAACCTACCTGACATTCCTTGACCACCTCATGTATGAGGAATGTTTGATGACCTTGGTGTTCCTGAGACAGTTCACAAACCCAACAAATGACTTTTCCATCCTCCTTACAGAAGTACTGGAGTTTTTTTCCATGGTGCTCACAGACATCTCTCTTCTGCCCATCCTCTGGGCCCATCTTGACCTCCCTGACTCTCTGCACTATGTTGGCCAGATGCCGATTAGGTCGGAGGTTCCCAGGCTGGAATCTGGTCTGACACACAGGACAGCTGCTTTGCCCTCCTGAGATGATCACTGACTTGTTCTTTGCAGTGATGCAGGCATGGCAGAAGCTGTGGCCACAATCTATGCTCAGAGGATCTGTCAGGAGCTCCAAGCAGATGGGGCAGGTCACCTCCTTCCCTATGTCTACCTTTACTGATAATTCCATTGCACTGCTCCCTTGGCTTCTTTCTGTCTTGAGCCTCAAAGTTCTTGGTCACACACTCCTCCGGCGCTGGGAATATTGAAGAGAACAGGATAAGAAAAGAGGGAATAGAAAGAATACTGATTTTACCAAGATTTACAACACAACAAAACATTAATATTTAACAGAGAAAGGAGAAAAGAAAGACATGAAGAATAAACCAATGACAGAATAAAAAGGACCTTGTAGTAATTTCAAACACTTAATTCTTAATTTTTGTCTCAGGACAAATTTTATCCCATCAAAGCAACTATGGTTATTTTCTCTTTTTCTACTGGAGAGGAATGAGGCTCTTCTACCAAAAGCCTTGTGTAACCCATCATTTGCCCTGCCCTTTGTCCCCTAACCCAAAACATATTTTCCATGTTAAATGCACTAACACACTCCTGCCCCTGGCCTTGCACACATGCTTTTCTCTCTGAATGGCATGATTGTATCCCTAGTATGTGCATAATTCACTAGTTTTAAGCTATTGAGTTATATTTACATAGCATCAAACACATTCATTTTAAGTGTATAATTTCATAATTTCTGGTAAATTTGTGGAATCATATAATTATTAATGTAACCAATTTTAAACCATTTTTACCACCTGAAAAAAGAAAAACCCACAACCTAATGCCATCACTCCTTTTCTGATTCCAAGCACCAGGCAACCACTAAAATCTTTTGAGCTTTTAACCAATTCATAAAAACAGAATATATGGGGTCTTTGGTGTCTTAACTTATTATTTTACTTGCACTGTTAAGATTTATCTACTCTGCCTTTTTCCTCCATGTCAAAAACACCTCCTCAATTAAACTATCAAATCTATGACTGCCTCAACACTTTTGCACTTCCTCTTCTGTCTGCATAAAATGATCCTCCCCCTGATGTCAGCAAGAGCAAGACTCACTCTTACATTTAATTCAATCTCCTCTTACATGTCCTCTTCTTAGAAGGACATGCTATAACTTACTTACAGCAAAACCACCAACAATATCACTCACTGTACATTTGGTTCATCTTATTTTTAGATGTAATATATATCATTGTTATTTAAATGTCTACCTCTTCCTCCTGAAACATAATTCATGCATAGACCTGGCACAATTTTTGTTCATTGATACATCCTCTATACCTAGAAGAGTGAATCACATACAGAAATAAAATGCTAAACGAATATGTAAAGCTAGAATTTCCTTATCCCTCCATAAATGATTAGACCTTTTAATTAGATTTTTATCATCAGAAAAAATGTAGAAGAGTGAATCACATACAGAAATAAAATACTAAACGAATATATAAAGCTAGAACTTCTTTATCCCTCCATAGATGATTAGACCTTTTAATCAGATTTTTATCTTTTCTTTCCATTAATTAGCAGTTTCCCAATAGCTGAGCTTAGGGCCACGATTATGGTTTCCAGTGAAGAAGCATTTACGTCCTAATACATCTACCCATAGCAAGTCCTCCCAGGCCCTCACACTCACTCCCCACAAACATACACATATACACACCACCACCACCACCACTACCACTGCCACCATAAAGGGAAAATAACTTTATCATGAACAGTTTTATAAACAGTTACAATTTAGAAATCATTGTGACTTATATATTCTTCATACAAAATCCTTGAGAAATAAGAATATTCCCTTTCTGCGGGTGTGCCAATGGAATCAAATGACTTACAAAAATCACTCATTCTAATCTAATAGGTAAAGAGTGAATGTAGTGTCCCCAACGTCCTCCTCAGAGTTCTCTCCACTACTGCACAGATTTAAACAGATAACAAAGGTGAAGGCTACAAGAGCTGTATTGGTGCCCAACGCTATGGGGGTATAGGAATGAAGAGATCCAAACCTATGCAGTTCTGGGGCATGTTGTGGTTTTAAATGTTGAAATTTCACCTTGGCCTGGACATATGACAAGGATGATGATAGGAACTTAAAGGTGTATGTCTGTAGGAAAGAGGAAAAGAAGCTAAAATAGTTATGGTATCACGCACATGACATACACTCAATGAATACACATTTCAAAGAAACATCTGTTGGTCATGAGAGAAAAGTCTCAATTCATAAAGGAGGCCAAATATATTGAGAATATGTAATGAAGAGATAGTCTGTCCCATTTCAAACACAATGAATGCTACTATGGGATGGATTGTTTCTCCCCAAATGATGTTGAAGTCCTAATGTATGAATGTTCTCTTATTTGAAACTAGTATATTTAAATACTATTAGGTTATCATGTGATCGTCAGGGTAGACGCTTATCCAACACAACTGTGTCCTTATCAAAAAGGGAAATTTACACACAAAGAATATGCCAGGGTGAAGAAGAAAGTGGAGACCAGGGCCATGCACCCATAAGCCAAGGAATGCCAAAGGTTTCCAGGAAACTATTAGAAGCTAGAAGAGAGGCATGGAGTAGATGCCTCCTTCATAGCCTTCAGAAGGAACCAGCCCTGCCAACACGTTTCAACTTGGATGACTAGCCTCCAGAATGGTAAGACAATATATTTCTGCTATTTAAAACAACCACTTTTGGTATTTTTTCTATGGCAACTCTAGAAAACTAATACAAGTGCTTATTTTTCTTCATTTATTCATTCTTTCTCCTAACATTGAAGAAATGTTGCCCCATTGAAACTTTTCTAACCTAAGACAGATAGACAGACACATAAACAAAATGCATACTTCCCTTTGAAGGTGGTACAAATGTAATTTTTATGACATGGTTAAGGCTCACTAGGTCCATGGCTTCCTTATTTCAGAATATTCTAATTAACTACACAGAAGCTTTCTGTATCTGTACAATTTAGATTTTAAAACAAATGGGCTGGACATGATCGCTCACACCTGTAATCCCAGCACTTTGGGAGGCCGAGGCAGGCAGATCACAAGGTCAAGAGATGAAGAACATCCTGGCCAACATGGTGAAACCCCATCTCTACTAAAAAACCCAAAAAGAAAATTAGCCGGGCATAGTGGTACATGTTTGTAGTCCCAGCTACTCAGGAGACTGAGGCAGAAGAATCACTTAAACTGGGAAGCAGAGGTTGCAGTGAACCCAGATTGTGTGACTGCATTGCAGCCTGGTATCAGAGCAAGACTCCATCTCAAAAAAAAAAAAGTCTGGGAATGGTGGCTCAAGCCCCCAGCATTTTGGGAGGCCAAGGTGGGTGGATCACCTGAGGTCAGGAGTTTGAGACCAGCCTGGCCAATACGGTAAAACCCTGTCTCTACTAAAAAAATTCAAAACTTAGCCAGGCATGGTAGTGGGCACCTGTAGTCCCAACAACTCACTCGAGAGGCTGAGGCAGGAGAATTGCTTGAACTTGTGAGGCAAAGGTTGCCGTGAGCCAAGATCATGCCTGGGCAGCAAAGGGAGACTCTGTCTCAAAACAGAAAAATAAATAAATAAATGAAATGAAATTAAAGTGGCTATACCATAAGGAGAAAAACTATGAGGCGTTTAGCCACCAATCTCTCTTTTTTTTTTTTTTTTTTTGAGACAAGGTCTCATTATATTACCCAGGCTGATCTTGAACTCTTGAACTCAAGTGATTCTCTTATCTCAGCCTCCGAAAGTGCTGGGATTTTAGCTAGGCATAGGCACGAGCCACCATGCCTGGCCTAACCAACATCTTTTAAATTTCCCCATTCCTTGGGTCAGGAAGTACCAATGGAGAAAGTAGGCATGCAGAAACCTGGCAAACTCAGAAACATTGTTACCACTTCTTATTCCTCTAAACTCAGAGTTCCTTTTTCAAGGACCCATTAAAATGTCCAGGGTTTAGTTTTCCCCACATTAGTGACCCTTTTTCCAAGAGTTCTAACTTTCTGGTGGATCTGTTTCAGATAAGCCGTTTTGTAACAAAGGACAGTTTTCATAAAGCAACCCCAGTCTCATCCCTTTCTCTCACAGTTAGTTCATCACTTTTTTTTTTTTTTTTTTTTTTTTTTTTTTTGAGACGGAGTTTCGCTCTTATTACCCAATAGCGCGATCTCGGCTCAAGGCAACCTCCGCCTCCTGGGTTCAGGCAATTCTCCTGCCTCAGCCTCCTAAGTAGCTGGGATTACAGGCATGCGCTACCATGCCCAGCTAATTTTTTGTATTTTTAGTAGAGATGGGGTTTTACCATGTTGACCAGGATGGTCTCGATCTCTTGACCTCGTGATCCACCCCCCTCGGCCTCCCAAAGTGCTGGGATTACAGGCTTGAGCCACTACGCCCGGCCAGTTCATCACTTCTTAAATCCATCCTTTTATTGAAGACTCTGCTCAAAATCACTTTCTCACAGTGAGACCTAATCTGAAATCTATTTAAAATTGCAAAGCCATTGACAAGAACACTACAAATACCCTATCCTATCGCAACCCTTTTGGTTTGCTGTTTTTGTTTTGCTGGTTTTACATCTATCCTGTAGTAGCTGCTACCTTTTTGCTACAATAAAACTGCTTGTTTACCTCCTTTTTTCAACTGCGTGTTTACTTCCTTTTCCCTAGAGTATAATCTCTTGCAGGTATTTAATATTTATTATGTATCAAATAGATGGCAATTTATTTTTACTATAGTTGTATGCTTTTGTTTTGTGAATTTAATCAAAAATATCTTAAGGCCGGGCATGGTGGCTCGCATCTGTAATCCTAGCACTTTAGGAGGCCTAGGCAAGCAGATTATGAGCTCAGGAGTTCGAGACCAGCCTAGCCAACAGGGTGAAACCTTGTCTCTACTAAAAATACAAAAGTTAGCCGGGTGTGGTGGTGGGCACCTCTAATCCCAGCTACCTGGGAGGCTGAGGCAGGAAAATTGTTTGAACCCAGGAGACGGAGGTTGCAGTGAGCCAAGATCGCGCCATTGCACTCCAGACTGGGCAACAAGAGTGAAACTCCATCTCAAAAAAAAATTAATTAATTAATTAAAAGTACATTTTTATTTATTGGGCCCTGTACTAGACTTGAGTAGACAATTAATAAATACTAGATATGGACCTTGACAAGATGTATGGCATAGACACATAAGTAGACATTTACCTGGACCTCTGAAAAATGAAAGAAAGAAAAGTACACATCAGAATATGGATGATGTCGGCATCAAGGCACAGAATGCTCAGAGATAAGATCAGGGTAAGACTCAGGAGAAATTACCAACTCCTTGCCTTAACTCTGTGCAAGGGAAAATTGAATAGGGTGTTGAGGTAACACACGATGAAAAGGTGCACTTAGACTAATAAAAAGCAACTTCTAAAGCAGAAGAGGACACCAGAGATTCATGAGGCACTACTGAGGTAAGAGTAAGCTGTGGGCACTCACGGTACAACAAGGTCCCTGTGGCTGGGCCTTCAGAGACAAGTGACCAAAGGGTATCTGCAAAGATGGGCAGCAGTCTGACAGTACCACAGCCTCTCTCATCAGACGAACCAAAGGGCTGCTAATTTATCAGGAAAGCTGTGGACAGCATCCAAGAAGTTACCAGAAGGCAAGTAAAAGGATACGCTTCCAAAGGGCCTTACTCCTGAAGAATGAGTAGCTAAGCCTCCTTCCCCCAACACCCAGGTCCAGATAAGGGCTCTCATCCCTGCTGAACCTCATCATGAGGTCTCTTTATGAAAAATAAAATCAGAGCTTCATTGCACAAGCTTCTTTGGGAGAAAAGAGGAAGAAACTTGCTGCCTCTGAATAAGAGAATATTCTGATCTATGTTGGCAATGTAGAAAAATCAAAATGACTGAAGAAGAAGGTGATAGGGGTACCTAGATTCAAGAAATGAATGGTTCCTCTAGGAAACGAGGCTTTTTGCTTCTGCAAACCTCTCTTCTTTAAAGGTACTCCTCTCCCAAATTCAGTGCTTTCTTCCTCTCCCATCTCAGCAGACAGATCACAAGCTGCCTCTTTTTGGTTATGCAGAGCAGCTTCAGAACCACAAATTAAACTAACTCAAACACAATCAATCTGTTCTTCTCAAAGCCTCCCATCTCGGAGGTTGCAGTGAGCCGAGACCGCGCCACAGCACTCCAGCCTGGCGCCTGGAGACGGAGCGAGACTCTGCCTCAAAAAAAAAAAAAAGCCTCCCATTCTATGCTCCCTCAACTAAGCCTCCCGTTCTATGCTCCCTCAACTCACCACACTCACCTTCAGTCCAAAGTGGAGGAGTCTTGAATCAAGGGAGAAGAGTGAGGGAAAGGCAGGAGAATGTGTGGATCAGATTCACTCATCAGCCAGAGGGCTGGTCTCCACAAACGCGTTTCCCCGCAGAAGCTGAGTGAGAAACGAAAGTTAAGTTCTCAAAAGTGAAAGAAAACAAAGGAAGCTGAACTGAGCTTACATAACAATAAACCCTGAGGAATAGTAATGCTTCAGTACTTTCTAGCTTCTGCTGTACCAGGAAGGCACTCAGTCACCACATTCTTATTCTTAATGCAGTTTACTCAAGCAAGAATAGTCTAATAAAAAGAATGTTAATTACAGTTGCACATTCTACAGCTTGCCTGAACACTTAGAATTCCAATGCAGTTCTATAATTATTGGTCAAATCTATCTTCTATTTAAGACCTATCAAGTAAAATAAAGATCCAGAGACTTGGGACGCAGCTTCTTGAAATGCAGTCTGATGGGGAAGATAGAAAGCTCAACAAATTTGGGCTGACAGGATGAGGATTAGCAGCTGTCATTGTGAATGGTAAAAATAAAATTATTTTTATAAATAAAAGGATCTTTAGTGTGAACCCACTGAAAAAAAATGTTCTCAAAATGTCATTGAATCTTAAAAGTCCATCGATTAATTACCACTTCCTGCTCCTAATCCAGACAGGCCAGATGAGGATGGATTCCAGAGAATAATAGAGTTTAAACTGTCAGTGCCGTGTTACCCTGCCACTGAGGCAGGTGAGGACCTGGAAGGTAATAGATGATGCTGTTTAATTATAATCATTCACTAAGTCACCCTCATGCCTTCATAATTTTTCACTTGTCCCTACTTTTCTTTTTTTCTTTTTCTTTTTTAATGAGATGGAGTCTTGCTCTGTCGCCAGGCTGGAGTGCGGTGGCGCAATCTCGGCTCACTGCAACCTCCGCCTCCTGGGTTCAAGCAATTCTTCCGTGTCAGCCTCCCGAGTAGCTGGGACCACAGGTGTGTGCCGCCACGCTCAGCTAATTTTTTGTATTTTTAGTAGAGACGGGGTTTCATCATGTTGGCCAGGATGGTCTCGATCTCTTGACCTCGTGATCCACCCGCCTTGGCCTCCCACAGTGCCGCGATTACAGGCATGAGTCACCGTGCCCAGCCACTTTTCCCTGAAGAGTTGTTCCTTTTCACACGATCAATTAAAAAGTAACACTGACACATGTTATATGTCATGCACATGCTTCTGTGCCCTGTTGTCTATTGTATTCTTGTTTAACTGCATGTGCCAAATAATGCCATCAAAAACTGATGGAGGCCCTTGGTGTCTCATGCCTGTAATCCCAGCACTCTGGGAGGCCCAGGTGGGTAGATTACTTGAGCCCAGGACTTCAACACCAGCCTGGGCAACATGGTGAAATCCCATCTCTAAGAAAAATACAATAAATAAATAAAAGGTTGGGTGTGGTGGTGTGCACCTGTAGTCCCAACTACTTGGGAAACTAAGATGGGAGGATGACTTGAGCCCAGGAGGTGAAGGTTGCATTGAGCCAAGATTGTGCCATTGCACCATAGCACTCCAGCCTGGGTGATATAGTGAGACCTTGTCGCTACAAAAAACAGGCAAACACAACACAACACACACACACACATGTAAACACCCCAAAATAAAAGAAAAAAAAAGCAACTCATGGAGCTCCCATAGCCTGTATCCCTGACTGACATTGCAGAGCATGGCAATCTTCAATCAATGATACACATGTAGGATGACTGAGAAATCAATGTTTATTATTTAAAGAATAGATATTTTGGTATTATTTGTTGCCCACAGAATAATAAGCTAATCATGGATATAAATGATTTCCTACTCACTTATATCTAAGAGGACCTTATTCAATGAGTTGAAAGCCTGAGTAGAAGAAAAAACTGACTTATCCCCCCAAGGAGGGAATACTACCAGCAGACAAACTTCAGGCTTGAGCTATAACATTGACTCCTTCTTGGATCCAGAGCCTCTTGGCTCACCTTGCAGACTTTGGATTTGTCAGTCTACAAAATCACAGGAGACATTTCTCAAGTCTCTTTCTATATAAATTCACAGCTTAGTGGTTCTGTTTCTATGGTGAACCCTGACTAATACAGGCATGAATGCAGAGAAATAAGCAAAAGTTGTAATTTTAGGTATATTCCATGTGTGAACAGAATATCTTATTGACATTTGCAGGGGAGTGAGGGCTCAGTGAGTGAATGTTTTTGTTCAGAGTGCACAGAGTGGAGTCCAAGTGTCAACCACAATGGACAACGTAAGTGAACTCATTTATCCACAGACCTTTTCTCTGCCCATTATTTCTTCCCTTCTTAGCACTTCCATAGATCTCATATCCATCCTTTTATTCCTCTCTGCCTTTGAACATCTGAACTGACCTTCCATCCTGGTCTGATTTATCTTATGAAGTATTAATTGCAGCTGAAAGAAAACAGTAGGAATATTACAGGTCCTGACGAGATACCAGGAAACCTGGGCCAGCAAGAAACCTGAATGTTCCATACACCTTTTATCACCAGAGTTGAGCATGTTGGCAGGCTCCATATTCCAACCTATGTTCTAAATTGCAGAAAAAATTAATTATTGTTGGGTCTCTGTGTTTTCTCTGCAAACCTTATGTATCCTGATCGAAGAGGAATCAAATGAAATATATCCACCGTTGGGTCCATGGATGTTTAACATTTTTCTCTTCAAGAAAAGGAGCAAAGTAACAGTAAATATGGTTAGACTCTGAATAATACTTAGAAAGAAAAGAGAGGATTTTTTAAAAAATCATTTAAAATTTATTTTAAAAAATTACATAATATTACTTCGTGTGTGTGTGTGTGTGTGTGTGTGTGTGTGTGTGAAACAGAGTCTCACTCTATTGCCCAGGCTGGAGTGCAGTGGTGCAATCTCAGCTCTCTTCAACCTCCACTTCCCAGGTTCATGCAATTCTCCTTCCTCAGCCTCCTGAGTAGCTGGGATTACAGGCGTCTGCCATTACAGCTGGCTAATTTTTGCATTTTTAGTAGAGATGGGATTTCAACATGTTGGTGAGGCTGGTCTCAAACTCCTGACCTCATGTGATTCACCTGCCTCAGCCTCCCAAAATTCTAGGATTACAGGCGTGAACCTCTGCACCCGACAACATAATTATTACTAATGCCAGAAGAATATTTGAATTAAACTACGTTGACACAGCAGTTATCTTTACAGCAAGAATAGAACAGAAATGTAACATCATCAAGATATTCAATTCAATTAAAACTATATTAATAGCTATATGCCTTCTTATCTCTCTTTAAATATTACTCCTTGTTTACACCGTATTCTAATGAATCTAAGACATTAAAGAACAAAGTGTAAAAGTACCATACCTGACTTCATGAAACTTAGAGCTGGGGGGTAGAGTGTGAAGGGGGGATGGGGTTACTGACGGTGGGAGTAAGTGATGACAGGCTGCCCGCTGCAGTGCTCCCCATTGCCTTCTCCTCATGAATTTTCATTTTCAAACTAAATTCTCCTGTCTACCAATGATCCTAATTCCAGTGTGGACTTCCTGAGATATCCCAGTGAGGGAAGGCTTAGAAGAGAAGCTATGGGCTGGGCGCGGTGGCTCACGCCTGTAATCCCAGCACTTTGGGAGGCCGAGGCAGGTGGATCACGAGGTCAAGAGATCAAGACCATCCTGGTCAACAAGGTGAAACCCCGTCTCTACTAAAAATACAAAAAAATTAGCTGGGCATGGTGGCGCGTGCCTGTAGTCCCAGCTACTCAGGAGGCTGAGGCAGGAGAATTGCCTGAACCCAGGAGGCAGAGGTTACGGTGAGCCAAGATCGCGCCATTGCACTCCAGCTTGGGTAACAAGAGCGAAACTCCGTCTCAAAAAAAAAAAAAAAAAAGAAGAGAAGCTATGGAATGGTACATGCACCACAGTTCAGCCTTCTGGACCAGTTCTGCATAGTAACCTGAAGAGAAGAAAGAGGAAGGCCTGGCCCTGCTCAGGGATCCAATAGATTCTTCAAAAAAAACAACAGAGGGTGGAGGGCAGGTACGGTGGCTCACAGCTGTAATCCCAGCACTTTGGGAGGTTGGCGGGCAGATCAGGAGGTCAAGAGTTTGAGACCAGCCTGACCAACATGGTGAAACCCTGTCTCTACTAAAAATACAAAAATTAGCCAAGTGTGGTGGTGGGCATTTGTAATCCCAGCTACTCAGGAGGCTGAGGCAGGAGAATGGCTTGAACCCAGGAGGCAGAGGTTGCAGTAAGCCGAGATTGTGCCTCCAGCCTGGGTGACAGAGTGAGATTCCGTTTCAAAACAAACAAACAAACAAACAAACAAAAATGGGGAAGATGGAGAGTTCTTTGAAAAGTTAATGGTTGAACTGCAGTCAGTGTGATAATGCAGTATTTCTTCATGGCTCTCCAGATAAATTCTAGCATCCTGTCCCCTCTCTGGGTTTGGGAGCCTTAATAATATGACATCTGTCCTATCTGCAGCTCCTTTTCTGTTCATAGGTCCTATAAGGTTTTTACGTCCAGACCAGAAACCTACTGCATTCTCTAAAAATCATTAACCTTGCTCTCCCTTCTCTTTGGGGCATATCTATTACCCAGAAGCAGAACCCAGATGTGAGATCAGGAACAAGAGGAGCACACAGGAAGAGTTTCGGTAAAGGGCACCTTTTCTAATTTTGAATACTTGGTTGGGTTAATCTGAACCAATGTCAAAAAGAAGGGGCATGATAACAAGATCCTGAGGCTCAAGAGAAAAGGGAGATAGAGTGGGGATGCCTCTGTTTTCCATGCCTCCTCCTGCGAATGGCCCAGCTACGCAGCAGGCTGACTCATTCAGAGGGTGGGACTCACCAGGCGAAATGCCATTGGCCCAGTATTTTATCTTTCACTTTCCTGCCCAGGATGTGAGCAAGAATTTCCTGCAGCTTCTCTTAGGAAGACTTCTTTGAGCAGATCAGGCCCCCGGATTGGTGAGTGAATCCTAACCATATCTTCCCTGGCCTGCCTTCACTCTTCTCCCCAGAATCACCACTTCTCTACTGGTGTCTGAAGGTGTATTGAGTGGTTTGTGGAGGGCAAAAGTAGGAAGTCTTTCGGACAAAACTGAATTTGCTTTGGTGAGTTTAACTTACCTAAAAGCTGTTCCGGGGTGGGGAAAAGACAGAGTTCACAGACTTTCTGCTGCCGGGGTTTACTAATGGGAACAGAGCTGTCTGGCACGTGGGCAGCTTTGAAAGAAGGAAGAACTTTTTTTCTTTTTTTTTTTTTTTTTTTTGAGTCGGAGTTTCGCTCTTGTTACCCAGGCTGGAGTGCAATGGCGCGATCTCGGCTCACCGCAACCTCCGCCTCCTGGGTTCAGGCAATTCTCCTGCCTCAGCCTCCTGAGTAGCTGGGATTACAGGCACACGCCACCATGCCCAGCTAATTTTTTGTATTTTTAGTAGAGACGGGGTTTCACCATGTTGATCAGGATGGTCTGGATCTCTTGACCTCGTGATCCACCCGCCTCGGCCTCCCAAAGTGCTGGGATTACAGGCTTGAGCCACCACCACGCCCGGCCAGAAGGGAGAGCTTTAAAGTGAAAGGCTTTGTTTCCTGGAAGGCTGGTAATTTTTCGCAGCTGACTCTCTTATTAAGTAATCCTGTTTACTTCTTTTATGAATGTTTCCAGGGCCCTCTGAACCATCCAAAAAGCCAGGCATTAGAAAAGACAATTTTGAAGCTTGAAGTTTGATTTTGGCACGTCTGTTAAATGTTAGAGGTTTGAAACACTTGATGTTATAAAATTGACATACATTATCTTTTTTGCCAAATGATTCAAAAGGCAAAAGCCTTTCATTAACCTACACTATGACATGATAATCCTGTTTAAAGACAAATTTTACCCTTGCATTGATTTATTAAAGTTAGCCCCAATTTGTTTAAATGAAATCCTATAGATCATTTCATCTAATCTTAACCAATTTGAGCATGAGATGAAATCTTTACAAACCTTTTATAACCCTTTTACTAACGGGCAGATTATTCTCTTCAGAACTCCCTGCTGTGTGTTTATTTTGGTCCTCAATTTATGAAAAGACTATATAATACCATTTAGAGTTTAGTTAATGTTTACACATTTTTTTTTGCAAGATTATTTTTTACAATCTTTCTATAACTTTCTTAAATTTCTGGCTCTATCTTATCAAATTTAACATCCCTCATCCCAGGGCAAAATTTACATTTCTATACTTTCTTATACTTTCACTAAAAAACATATTTTACTGTTTTTATATGCTTTGCATGTAAAACTGTTTAGTGATCTCAAATACATGTTGCACTGTCAACTTTTAGCAACTTTTATTTTTCGTTAAGAAACCTGGTTAGTAAGCGATTTTAATCAGGTTGGTTCCTAGGACCCAGACGGAAGAGCAGATAAAGTCTGACTTTGCAGCATCTAGTTCCATGTGTCCTAGGACTTACCTATTTATAAAGCAGGCAATATATAACCTTGGAACAGTCAGCAAATCTAGTATCTAAGTTGTATGATTTAGACCACCTGTTTGCATTTTGACAGCACTTGCATTTTACCAATAATCCTTAAGACAGTTTTTATTTCTTTTTTCTTTTCTTTTTCTTTTTTTTTTTTTTTTGACACAGAGTTTCGCTCTTGTTACCCAGGCTGGAGTGCAATGGTGCGATCTCGGCTCACTGCAACCTCCGCCTTTGGGTTCAGGCGATTCTCCTGCCTCAGCCTCCCAAGTAGCTGGGATTACAGGCACGCGCCACCATGCCCAGCTAATTTTTTGTATTTTTAGTAGAGACGGGGTTTCACCATGTTGATCAGGATGGTCTGGATCTCTTGACCTCGTGATCCACCCGCCTCGGCCTCCCAAAGTGCTGGGATTACAGGCGTGAGCCACCGCACCCGGCCTAGTTTTTATTTCTTAAAGTTACATGAACTAAACAATATTTGATGTATGTGCTTAATTTTCCTTAAGCCAATTAATTAGAGCTCTGTTTATAGACATTGTACACAACACATACATAGGAACACAGACAGAACATTCAGCACTTGTAAGATTTTTTTATTTGCCAGTTTTTAATTGGATTACTGGCTTTAGGATGGAGCCCTTGGAGGAACAGGACCAGGTAGCATGCGTCTTTATGGCCTAATAAGCAGGCACAGCTGAAGGCAAAATCAGGCTTCTAAAATTAAGAGTGCCACTTTATACTGGATTTTGGGTCCCCAAAAGGAGGCAGATACTATGGGAAAAGACAGTGTTCTGCTTTTACTGTGTGTTTCATTACAAGGCAACACGAAGCCAGTCAGCTTATTTTGTGATTAGCCCACCCCACTATGGGAGTCTTATTTCTTAGTGAGGGGTGGGGATGTTTCCATATTTTTTAGGTGGCCAAGAGTATGCTTCTCTGATTTATAACTACTGTTAGGCATCCCTTACAGTGTGTTTCCTACCTAGTTGTTACACACCAAAGCTCTCATAATGTGAAGTAATTTGGTACCCCCAAAACTTAAAATGGTAGATAACACAATGCATAGCAGAACACAGCCTTTGATTTTGAGGGGGAACTGTCTGCTTTTAAATCTGGGGGTTTCATTAGGAAAACAGAGTTGTTTTGTTGTTGTTTTTTTTTCCCAAAAGGGGGTCTGTGGTGCCGCTTCTGTTTTTTCCCAAGGAGTCCCATGCTACCAGAAGTTATTTTAGGGCCTCTCATGCACGCATTAAGAGTGGTAAGACCAAAAAAACAAAACAAAACAAGAAAAGGAGAAAAATAATTCCGTCAACTGAGAAGAAAAAGAAACTTTTTCCAGAAAAACAAGATCCAAGAAGAGAAAAAGGCCTTTTAAATATACCTGTAACCTGAATATCCACTTATAATTAGGCTGAGAGCTCTTTAAGAAAATTCTTTTAAATCTCTTTACTTGACTTCAGCCATGCCACGCAGTTAAGATTTTTGGCTTTTGAACTTTATAGAAAATAACCTCACAGGTGAAAGCAACAAACCTTAGTTAGGTTGTGAATGAGCCACAAATGTACAAGGTATTTTCAAAGGGGTGATGGACAGCTTTTGAAACCGTCATTGCAAAACTGTGGCTGAGCCAGTGGAAGAGATCCAATCCAAACAACTCCATTTTCTTTCCAGCCCCCAAGGTATCCTTGCCCATCCCTTGAGCATAGGCTGAACCAACTTTGGGAGAAGCCTGCTTTACAGTTTATACTCTAAAACAAATAAGATAACAGCCCCTTCTTGAACTCCCAAGAGTTTCGCTCTTGTTACCCAGGCTGGAATGCAATGGCGCGATCTTGGCTCACCGCTACCTCCACCTCCTGGGTTCAGGCAATTCTCCTGCCTCAGCCTCCTGAGTAGCTGGGATTACAGGCACGCACCACCATGCCCAGCTAATTTTTTGTATTTTTAGTAGAGATGAGGTTTCACCATGTTGACCAGGATGGTCTCGATCTCTCGACCTTGTGATCCACCCGCCTCGGCCTCCCAAAGTGCTGGGATTACAGGCGTGAGCCACCACGCCCAGCCTGACAGCCCCTTCTTGCCTGGGGACGAGACCAAGAAACTAGCCAGAAGATTAGAAACCATGGTTTAGGAGTCATGCCGCTGGAGGCTATAAGATTTTGAGCCTTCCTAATCTGCTCTCAAGGTCATTGCTTAAGATATTTTGTAAACCCTGCCCTTGATGGATCAGCTGGCACCACTCTAGAAGGGTGCAAGCTGAAGACTGAAAAACTAGCTTATCTGATTTTGGGACCCTCATCCAGGAGCTGACTTAGCACAAGAAGACAGCCATCATTGTAAACTGATGGAGACTAAAACAAAGTATTGCCACGTGGTTATAGGTCACGTTTCTGAGGACAAGAAACAAGATGGAGGCCTGTAGCCAAGTTTGTTACTGACCATTTTGTTGGGCTGGCTCCAGCAACAGGCTTATGAGGTCCTGGGCCTGATGCTATTGTAAGATACCCTTTCTTTGACAGAACCATACAGAAAGACATGCAAAGCACATCAGATGGCCTACAGCCCAGGACCAACCTTACAAGTTCTTTTTCATTAATTGTAACTTTACAGAAAATATAAACAACAATTCTTATTATCCCTTTTACTGGTTTGCACAGGGAGAGAGAAGACAAAGACCTGACTAGAAAGAAAGTTTTACCCTTTTGCCGGCATATCAGGCTCTGGGTTCCTTCCCCTTAGCTCAACTCTAAGCCAAGCATTTTAAATTGGAAAACTAACTTTTCCAAGCTTGGAATAACATTATTTAAAAAGCCATTTTATACTGTGAAAGAAGGAAATACACCATACAAAGGAGTTCCGATTAGCGTTGTCAAGACACTGTGTTTCTTCCTGTTGAAATGGTGTTTCCCCTCTTGATTTCCCTTTCTTATTTCCTCCTCTCCCTTCTGGCCTACTATGAAACATGTTGCTTATCTCTAAAATTCTTTTCTTTTTGTAGAGCTGCCTGTTTTAGCTGTAGTTAGGGTTGGGCTTAGGAGCAGCATAACATTCCTCCATGAGAGGTCAAATACCTGAGTTAAAATTTTGGAAAGCTTCTAAATACCTATCAGCGTCATCAGAAAACTGGCCTATATCTTGCTTTACTTGCCTAAAGTCCTGCAACGAGAAAGGAAGTTGAAGAGGCCCCAGGTCAGACGGATTTTCAGACGGTTTCCCCGAAAATGACTTTTTTAATTTGGGGGAACTATTTTCCTTGGGCCTATTCGATATGATTTCTAAAAAAGCTGTGTTGATTTTACAATGCTTGAAAAGGCTTGGTAAAAACACCACACCCTGTGAAAAGAAAATGAGTTGCTTTCTTTAAAGTTCTGAGGCTAAGGAAGTTCCAGTGTTTCAGAGTATACTCCAGAAGGATGCAAGCGGAAGTTAGCTTATTACCCATTTAGAAAAAGAAACAAGAATAAAAGTATCCTGTTAGTCTCCTTCCTTTCCGTATGACCCAGAGTGGAGGAGAGGACAGGGAGCATCCTTCGAATGCTTCCCCTCCCAGGTTTCTGGATCCCAGCACTATGTTAAATGTGCCCTCCATGGTTATAGGTGTGGTCCTCCAAGCCATGGAACCAAATGAACTAAGTGATGGGGCTAACCATGCTTATCCACGCAGACTTAGTTTATCCACTTTGCGTGATTTCCCTCTGACTTGCTAGAACCCGTGTAATTTGCCTGGCTCCCTAAAAAACAGATGTCTGGAGAGACTGTCACCTTTGGGCAAGGATCCTTTAACAGAGGCAATGTGCTAGATTGCTTAATATTACAGCTGATGTTAACGCACTTACCCTTAAAAAAAAGTTCTGGTTAACTTCCAAACTTAAAATTCCCTTACTAATTGAGTACTATCTTAATATGAGACCAAATATGTGCCTTAAAAGAACATAGAAACGAATAGCCATTTTCCTACTGATAGGACAATATCGGAACTAAAATCTGGCTGCAGAAGACATTTTACTCCTAACTGTTAAGTACAGAAACTTCCCATTCCCAGAAGAGGCCTACCACTTGATTTCTAACAGTGTAAAAGGAAGCTGCTGTGTTATGGTGGAAAAAGAGGAAAAAGGTGTGCCTCATGTAGAGGATTTTTATTGCCATTAAGTGATGCTGTTGGCTTAGAAATATTATGTGCTTGCCCCCGGTGTGGTAGTTAAGTAACCTCACCAAAGGAGGAAGGGGAAAACTGTTCCTAGAGGCATTTTCCTGATCTTGCCCAGCAGGATTACTTTCCTAGGCTGTAAAAATCCCCGCACATTTCACACACAGAAAGAATAAGAGGTCACAGATAGAGAAGGAAGAATAGTTTTGCAACAGAATAGTTGAGGATTTTCTGCCAACACTCAGAGTGGGCTGTCGGAGGCTGCGTGTGGTCCAGGGGCCTTTGATTCATGTCAGGGTGTGCCCTGGCCAGAAACTCTCAGTTACCTCAGAACTTTTCCCAGCCTCGCTTGATGGCGAGGTCTCCCCATGAAAAGAAGCTAGTTCAAAATGGCCAACATTTCCAGTACCCATGGGTATTGGGGGGTTCTCCATGTTCCCCTCAGCAAGCCTCACATCTGAGTTTTTAGTATGGCAGCCAAAGCTAAGCGTATGTACCAGGCTGACAGATGCCCATTGATTTATCTGGTTTCATTTTAATGTAGAGGCCAAGAGTGCCTTAGACTAATAGAACAGATTTAAACTTGCTCCCATACTTACCAGGCAGATAATAATTGTGTTCCCATCTCAACCTCCCTGACTGCTCTGCAGCCTTTGGGTCACTGCTTAGGTAGTGGTGGGGTTAGCCCCATGTGTGGAAACTCTGGCTCCTCTGCACATACCTCTTTCTGTGTCTGTTATGGCATCAGTTATTTTCACACTGGCCACTTGTAATCTCACATTAAACATAAATTTTACAAGCTCATGACAGACGGCTATCTCTATTCCCCCCTCCCATAGGCTCTTATGCATCTCAGCGCTGACGCAATTTTTAATAGATTAAAAGGTAAATGGATTCCTCACTCTCAGGTTTGGATTACAACTCGAGTCATAAACAAGGCTAGACATTATTGTATGATGCAAATCTCTGATCTTGCCATTTATCAGAGCCTGATATTGGCCAAAGCCACTGCAGCATAACACTATAAGTCCTTGGCCCATTTTCAGTATCCATAGCATCGGATGAATTGCTCCTCCACTCCACCTTCATGCAGCCTTGTTCTTTATGGCCTTCGTAGATTATGGGAGAAGTGGACAGTTTTTATAGGTCTGAATTTATCTTCATACAGCCTTTATAACATTTTCCTTCCTTTTTCAGAGCAAGGCAGAGACTCATCAGCTGTCTCATAGCAGAGATCTTTCTTTTACCATGAAACTTAGACAGCCAGCAACACATCAGTATTTATTAGGGTCTTCTCTTTCCTTGTTTTTAGCCTTACAGCTCCATTTACCCAGAATTCCTTACAGTCGAGGAACATAGACTGAGGCCACAGGGTCCTTACTGAAACCAGGTCTGTCAGTCAACAACTCTGAGCCATCACTCTGTGATACTTCCCTGACTGAACACCAGCAGCAGTTTCCAATCCGGTTTGCCATTTCTCTTATGGGAGGTAACAGCCCTAGCCTAGCCAGGCTCATGTAGTTCGGCCAGGGGGATGCAGGACAGGAGAACCATGTGGCACAGCTTCCCCAGGTGAGTTCTCAGTGAGAGTCCCTAGGGTAGTACAGGAGGCATTATTATCTCCATCATCGGAGTTTTTTGAGAAATGAGACTGGCTGGATGTGTGTGAAATGCTGTAGGTTAGATAAGCCTAGTGCCCCAAAGGACTCATTATCTTGTGTAAGCTCATGGGAACAGTTCTCAGAAACCTAAAAGAAACATATCTGGTTTTGTGGTGGAAAATGAGGCTGTTATCTTCGTTTGTCATTGATTAACCAGTAGTGTAGCAAAAAGGCTACTGGAAGAGGACCCTGAATACAGGGTCATCTCAGGTCACCGTATTGAAGATAAATAATTTTTGTAAATCACTTCCTATACCTATTTATACATTTGATGAAACACCATCATTCACTCTGTGCTGATAATAAGGGCAATCATTGCAAATGCACAGTGACTAGTGAGATTTGATATACTGCTCATAAGGTGGTGAGAGCAGGTATTTTTGATCATATAACCTGTAAGGAGATAATTTAATAAAATCATACTAACATCAGGGAAACATTTTATGCTGAGAGAAGAGCAAATGTGAATGCCCTGAGGCATAGGTGGTTTGGTGATTTTAATATTGAGGATGTGTTTTGGCATGAAAAAGAAAAGCCAGGAGAGATTATGGGTCACACAAAGATCTGGGTAGAAAAGACCTCAGTTTGTTTTCTATTCATTGAAAGTAAAGAAAAATGATAACCAATGCACAGATAAGAGCAGAATTTGTCATATGACATGAACTGAGAGTAAAGTATTTAAGGCAATTATTAAAAGCCCATATTACCAGGTAACCAAATACCATTTCTTATTTTCTCTCCTTTTTTTCCCTTAAATATTTTCATTTTGCCCATTTTCTAATTGTACACAATCAATATCCTTTCTATTTAGTCTGTTTCTTACTTAGTCACATTTTAACCTTCCCAATCATGCAGGGATCTGTGAGCAAGAGGAACCTCAGCTGCCAGGACAGGCAAGAGCAGTGGAGCAGCTACCATGGCTTCCAGAATCCTGGGGAGTATAAAGGAGGAGGTGACCTGCCCCATCTGCCTGGAACTCCTGACAGAACCTCTGAGCCTAGACTGTGGCCACAGCTTCTGCCAAGCATGCATCACTGCAAATCACAAAGAGTCTATGTTACACCAAGGAGAGAGAAGCTGCCCTTTGTGCCGGCTCCCTTACCAGTCTGAGAACCTGCGGCCTAATCGGCATTTGGCCAGCATCGTGGAGAGGCTCAGGGAGGTCATGCTGAGACCAGAGGAAAGGCAGAACGTTGATCACTGTGCACGCCATGGAGAGAAACTTCTACTCTTCTGTGAGCAGGATGGAAATATCATTTGCTGGCTTTGTGAGCGGTCTCAAGAACACCGTGGTCACAACACATTCCTCGTGGAGGAGGTTGCACAGAAATACCGAGTAAGAGACTGGGATGGAGGGAGGAGAGGGCAGAAAATTGATCTGATGGAAAATTTTCACTTTGCATTTAACTTTAATTGCCTTGTCTTCATAGGCCTGAGGCCTGGGATTTTTTTTTTTTTTTTTTTTTTTTTTTTCATCCTATGCTTAACTTCTGAGGCTTGAAGGACAGTTTTTTTGCATTCCACCCAATTACAAGAGAAAAATCCAAGAGTATGTCTTTCTGGCCAGAAATAAATATTTTGTACCTTGGGTTAGATGGGTAGAGAGTTGGTGTCCAAGAAAAGCTCTTATTACCCCTTTCAGCAGGAGAGTGGCTGGAGTGGGATGAGATATAAGTTCTTCTCTTGCTGCAGGATCAGTTTTTTCTTCTAGGACAAAAAGAATCAGTTTACTCCTGTTGACAAGATGGGGAGGTCTTTTACCTGAGATGTAGGGAGCACATTCACCAATGTAAGTTTTCTTCCAAGTCATGGGTTCTCATTGTCTTTCTCACTGTTTCTGTAAATTTGTTTCTTCTGAGATCAACCTGATTTCTTTCATGTTTATACTCTATCCAGGTGCCGGCAAAGCGCATAGCTTGACTGTGGTGTGATTCCTTTCTCACAGGAAAAGCTCCAGGTAGCTCTGGAGACAATGAGGCAGAAGCAGCAGGATGCTGAAAAGTTGGAAGCTGACGTCAGACAAGAGCAAGCTTCCTGGAAGGTAACATGACATGGTTCCTGAGGGAGTTAGCCAGAAATCTGGGCAGAACTGTGGGAAGGAGCTTTCTTCCTCTTTATTCCCTGATGCTTGTTAAGTCCAGAAGTCATCTGATTTGTCCTCTTTATCCTTTCCCTGATGGAGTATGGTGGCTAGGGAGTGAATTTGTCACAGTGAGCACAGATATCTATAGGGAGCTATTTACATGAAGGTTCTCTCTGGTGAAGACAGTGAGTGAATCCTGCATTCCATTTTTGTGTTACTTTTTGAGTCTGTGACTCTACTTGGGGAAGACATTTGGCAGTGGCTCATGGTTCTGTCCTCAGTGTTCAACTTTTGGCAGGGAGTTTGAGTTTGAGCTGAGAAGTAATACAGGCACGCGTCAGTGTCCTGGATAGCTGTGTGAAAGCTAAGCTACATCCAGGTAACCCATTTTGACTCAGGTTGAACCTCAATATACCCATTCAAGATCATTGTTTTAAAATGTCATGAAGGAAAAAAAATAGTAAAAATTAACTTTTCTAAGACCTACTCTCCTGCTTCTATGTCCCCTCCTTGTGAGAACTCCCCAAAAGAAACAGTTATTTTTCTGACTATCAGCCTCTGCCTGGTAAACTAAGTGCCTCTTTCTCCCTTCTCATCTCTGAAGATTCAAATACAAAATGACAAAACCAACATCATGGCAGAGTTTAAGCAACTGAGAGACATCCTGGACTGTGAGGAGAGCAATGAGCTGCAAAACCTGGAGAAGGAGGAGAAAAACATTCTGAAAAGACTTGTACAGTCTGAAAATGACATGGTGCTGCAGACCCAGTCCGTGAGAGTGCTCATCTCAGATCTGGAGCGTCGCCTGCAGGGGTCAGTGGTGGAGCTGTTACAGGTAAGAAGTGGAAAGAAGCCTGAGCACTGAGATTAAGAAAAAGTGAAGGCTGTTTCCTTTTCTGTGTTACTGTGCTCTTTCTAATATTAACAACATTCCCTGCAGGACTGCTTTTTTGAATCAATTGCTGAAGTTACAGGAATAACTGAATGTAGAAGTGACAAGAGATAATCCAATTTTTATTAATTTATCCAGAGCAGTACAAAAATTTGGCATAGCAGAGATGATCAATTAGCTCTAGTGATGTTTGATATGTTCCTGTTCTCTGTATTCCAGTGTCATGCACTTATCAATGCAGCTTTTCATTGCTCAGCTTAGCCACAGGCAAACAAGTGCACGTCAAAATACAAGATGCTTTTTATTTTTTCCCTTCATGGAATGAATTGAGAATTTTTTCCTTTTTTTTATTTGCTGAAAAAAATAAATAACTCTATTATTTCTTCTTTATATACACAATAGAATTCAATAGCAAAACCATTGTAGTCTGCTGTTCGTTTTGAAAAGGTATAAATTTTTTTTTACGTGTACTGGATTTATTTAGATTCTTTACATTTTTTGAATATGTTCTTGGTAATGTATATCTCTATAAGAATTTGTCCATTTCATCTAAGTGGTCAAATTTGTAAGTCCAAAGTTGGTCCTAAGAATTATTTATAACTCCCCTATTTTTTGTCATTTTTTTGTCTTTATTTAAATTGATAAATGAAAGTTTTAAGTATTCATTATGTAAAGCGTGCAGTTTATATATATATATATTTATTTATATATATATAGTGGAATGGCTAAATGGAGCTAATTACCACGTGAATTACCTCACATGCTTATCATTTTCTTGTAAAATAGAACATTTAAAACCTACTCTCTTCCCAATTTTCAAGAATACAATACAAGGCTGGGTGCGGTGGCTCAAGCTTGTAATCCCAGCACTTTGGGAGGCCGGGGCGGGTGGATCACGAGGTCAAGAGATCGAGACCATCCTGGTCAACATGGTGAAACCCCGTCTCTACTAAAAATACAAAAAAATTCGCTGGGCATGGTGGCACGTGCCTGTAATCCCAGCTACTCAGGAGGCTGAGGCAGAAGAATTGCCTGAACCCAGGAGGCGGAGGTTGCGGTGAGCCGAGATCACGCTATTGCACTCCAGCCTGGACAAGAAGAGTGAAACTCGGTCTCAAAAAAAAAAAAAAAAAAGAATACATTGTTAAGTATAATTGCCACATTGTGCAATAGATTTCTTGAAGATAGTCTTGTTTTTATTCTGAAGTTGGTATCCTTTTACCAATATCTGCCTCAATTCTCCCTGCTTCCCAGCTCCTGGAAACTCCTCTTACACTCGCTAATTTTTCACATCTACATACTAAGTGATATTATACAGTATTTGTTTTTCTGTTCCTGGTTTGTTTTACTAAAAGTCTTCCAGGTTTATCTATGTTTTATGACAACAGAATTACTCTCTTTTTTAAGGCAGAATACTATTGCATTGTGGATACATATGTGTGTATGTGTGTGTATATACATATATATATACATATAGCACATATATACTGTGTGTGTGTGTATATATACATATATATACTCACATTCAATCGTTGATGGATACAGACTGATTCCATTTCTTGGCTATTGTGAATAATGCTGCAATTAACATAGATGTGTAGATATCTCTTGGAAATGTTTATTTCATATCTTTTGGATATGTATTCAGTCATAGGACTGCTGAATCATATAGTAGTTCTATTTTTAATTTTTTGAGGAGCCTCTATACTATTTTTCACACGGGCTGTAATAATTTTCTTTTCTTTCTTTCTTTTTTTCTTTTTTTTTTTTTTTTTTGAGGCGGAGTTTTGCTCTCGTTACCCAGGCTGGAGTGCAATGGCGCGATCTCGGCTCACCGCGACCTCCGCCTCCTGGGTTCAGGCAATTCTCCTGCCTCAGCCTCCTGAGTAGCTGGGATTACAGGCACACGCCACCATGCCCAGCTGATTTTTTGTATTTTTAGTAGAGACGGGGTTTCACCATGTCGACCAGGATGGTCTCGAACTCTCGACCTCGTGATCCACCCGCCTCGGCCTCCCAAAGTGCTGGGATTACAGGCTTGAGCCACCGCGCCCGGCGCCTTTTTTTTTTTTTTTTTAATAGATGGGGTTTCACCATGATGGCCAGGCTGGTCTTGAACTCCTGACCTCAGGTGATCCACCCACCTCGGCCTCCCAAAGTGCTAGGATTACAGGCGTGAGCCACCGTGCCCGTGGCCTGTAATAATTTTCATTCCTGCCAGCTGTGTGCAAGGGATCACTTTTTTTCCCATCATCTCCAACATATGTTCTTTTGTCTTTTTTATAATAGTCATTCTAAACAATGTGAGGTCATATCTCATTGTGGTTTTGATTTACATTTCTTTTATGATTAGGGATATTCTGCATTTTTTTTTTTTTTTGAGACAGAGTTTCGCTCTTGTTACCCAGGCTGTAGTGCAATGGCACGATCTCGGCTCACCGCAACCTCCGCCTCCTGGGTTCAAGCAATTCTCCTGCCTCAGCCTCCTGAGTAGCTGGGACTACAGGCACGCGCCACCATGCCCAGCTAATTTTTTGTATTTTTAGTAGAGACGGGGTTTCACCACATTGACCAGGATGGTCTCGATCTCTCGACCTCGTGATCCACCCGCCTCAGCCTCCCAAAGTGCTGGGATTACAGGCTTGAGCCACCGCGCCCGGCTTATTCTGCATTTTTTTTATATACCTGTTGGCCATTTGTATGTCTTCTCTGAGAAATTTCTATTCAGTCTTTTTGCACATTTTTTGCTTGGGATATTTGTTTATCTGCTTTTGAGTTATATAAGTTCTTTATATATAAGGAATATTAACTCTCATCAAATATATGGTTCACAAATATTTTCCTCTGACCCACAGGCTACCTTTTAATTTTGTTGATTATTTCTTTGTAGTACAGAAAATTTCAGTACGATGTAATCCCTTTTGTCTATGTTCAGTTTTGTTGCCTGGATTTTGGGGTTTATAGCTAAAACAATCATTGGCCTGAATAATGTTTGCAGCTTTTCTCCTATGTCTTCTTCTAGTAGTTTTACTGTTTCAAGCCTTATATTTAAGTATTTAAGCCACTTTGAGATGATTTTTGTAACATCTCAAAGTGTGAGATAGAATATAATTTTAGTCTCCTGCATATGGCTATCCAATTGCTCCAACACAATATATTAAGGAGACTGTCCTTTCCTCAACAAGTGTTGATACCACGTCAAAAACTAATTAACCCTAATGGCATGCTTTTTTTTCTAGCTTACTATACTGTTCCATCGGTCTACACGTCTGTTTCTAATGCTAGCACTATACTGTTTGGATAACTGTAGCTTGTAATATAAGAAGTCAGGTGGTATGTTGCTTCCAGCATTGTTCTTTTTGTTCACGATTTTTCTGGTGATTTAAGGTCTTTTCTGGCCCCACACAAACTTGAGGGTTGTTTCATCTATTTTTGTAAGAAATGTCAGAATTTTAATAAGAATTGCATGGAATCTATAGATTACTTTGGGTAGCATGTACATTTAAGGATATTACAATGAGACTACAACCATATTACAATTCATCATTACAGCAGCCCTAGAGCAGGCTTATAAGAGGTCTTAAAGGGAGTGCTGAACATGGAATAGAAAGAACAACAACTGATACCACTGAAACCCACTAAAGCACATACCATACAGACAATGTAAAACAACTACACAATCAAGTCTACCGAGTAGACAACTAACAGCAGAATGTCACATATCAATACTAATCCAGAATGTAAATGAGCTCAATGCCCTACTTAAAAGAGATAAAGTGGCAAAAGGAATAAAAAGACAAGACTCAACTGTCTGCTGTCTTCAAGAGACCCATCTCACATTTAATGACACCAGGCTCAAAGTAAGGGGTTGGAGAAAGACTTAATGGAAATAGAAAACAAAAAGGAGCAGAAGTAGCTATTCTTATATTGATAAAATGTACTTTAAACCAACGACAATTAAGAACAAAAAAGAGAAAACATGATAAAGGGTATAATTCAACAAGAAGACTTAACCATCTTAAATATATATGCACCATAGGTGAGAGCACCCAGATTAACAAAACAAGCTCTTCCTGACCTGAGAAACAACTAAGATGACCTCATAATAATACTGGGAGACATAACATTTAACCGAAAGCATTAGACAGATCATCAAGGGAGAAAACTAACAAAGAAACTCTGGACTTAAACATGTTGACTGACCAATTGGATCTAATTGACATCTGTAGACTACTTCACCAAACAACCACAGGAAATACATTTTTCTGGACCAGAACATATTCTATGATCAACCACATATTTGGTCATAAAGGAAGTCTCAATATATTTTTTAAAAAACTGAAATCATAACCAAGTATACTCACAAACCACAGTGCAATAAAAAATAGAAGTCAATATCAAGAAGACCTCTCAAAACTACACAAATACATAGAAGTTAAACAACTTGCTCCTTAATAACTCCTGAGTGAACCTTAAAACTAAGGCAGGAATCAAATATAATATTTGAAAACAATAAAAATAAGAACAAAACTTATAAAAATCTCTGGCATATAGCTAAAACAATGAAGAGGAAACTTATAGCATGAAGTACCTTCATTAAAAAGTTAGGAAGGTTTCAAATTAATAATCTAACTTTACACCTGGAAGAATAAGAAAGAAAAGAAAAAACTATTCCTCTAAGCTAGCAGCAGAAAATACATAACTAAAATTGGAGAAGAACTGAATGAAATTGAGACACAAAAACCCATACAAAAGGTTAATGAAGTTAACAGTTGGTTCTTCAAAAGAATAAACAAGATTGATAGACTTCTAGCTAGATTAATAAAGAAAGAAAAAAAATATTCATGTAACTGCAATCAGAAATGACAAAGATGACATGACATCTTAGCCTGCAAAAAAAGATACTCAGAGACTGTTACTGACAACTCTGTGAAAACAAGTTA